CATTTTGTTTGCAGGTGTATAAGTAAATTGAAATTTGAAATTATCGACCAACTTGCCATCTGCCAAGATTTTTTGAGATAACCAAAATCCTGCAAAAACCATCAAGAGGGTCAAAAATTTTTACTAGATTTCTTTGAAACTTAAATTTTATGTTATTTTAGTTGCCAGACTGATTATGAGGCTGAAATTGATTATGAAATTGCAACAAATTGTACATTATTATATTCAACACTGCCAAAAGAGGGAAGACCTTTTGCCATCATACAATTCAGAAATGAAGGCTAAATTAAGTGCAAAAAATAGCAAGGAAAATTGAAACTTTCTCAATAAGTTTTGTTTAATTTCTTTGTTTTGTAAAAAAAAAAACGATTTTGTCAACCTATAAATTTTTTGTGGTATATCTAGAAACGTGTTGTTGACGGGGTATCAAATAAGCAACCGACTTTAAAACAACTGACTGCTATCGCCAAACAAAAAAATTATAAAATTATTGATGATTTGTGTTGGATTTTTCTTAAACTTACTCCTTTTTTGAAAAAAGTATTGAAAATAAACACGCTGTAATTTTTTGTCCGTGAACAAGAACACAAAAATGGGATCAAAAATTCGATTTCGAGCTGAGGAAAACCTTGTTTATGATACAAGCAAAATAAATGATCGGGTAAACAGCCGAATATTCTCCTTTAATTTTGCTGGGATAGTTTGAACAAAAATCACATTATGACTCTTGTAGTTTTTTGGACTCCTATGTATGGTAATCGATTTGTCGATGAGCCCGGGAGAAAAACCGGATTCCACAAAAATTTGCATTTTTTTCTGAGCTACTGGGAATGAAGTCGATTGGGAATGAAATTTATTGGGATTGCTTGCTGGGATCGCTTGATGCCAGCTGCAGTTTGGATGATGCCAAGCCAAACATTTTTTGACTGCCAAATGCGGTGAAGTTGTTGAGGATGGCCCCTGGTTGTAAATGTGCATCTTTTGTGATGTATTTGGGACTTCTGACGGTTTGTTTCAGAAAATGTTGTTCTTCTGCTATATTTTGGTTGTCTTCTGAAGTTTTTTTTGAACTTTGAATATGTGCTACTGTACGCAGTGCGCGGTTTTTCTTAAAAGCGTTTGTACTTGATCCACATTCTAAGGTTTCGTAATTGCAGAATTTGTATTCAAAATGAAGTGTTTTGAATTTGTAGCTTGGGTGATCTCCAATATACATCTGAAACATAAGTTTTAACAAAAAATATCTCGTTTCCCACAAGCGGAAAGAAAAGATTTTGGTGGATTCATAGGAATTACTTACTCATCAAGCGAATAATTCTTTAGATTTTTTGTCGAAACCAGAAGTTTACCCAAGGTAAGTTTTAGATGAGAGAGATGCGTAAGAGGCATCAGTGAAAATGTGCAAGAAAATCTTTTAATATGACTGCGAGAAACAGTGAAAAAGAACATAAACAAGCTGGAGATTGTCGATTTTTAGGAAGAGTTCAAAAATCGTATGCGTGTATTCTCTGTTTAATTGAGTCTCCCATTTATTTCATTATTTCATCTCAAAAAAAATGCCGTTGAGTTCGGAAGTTCTGAAGTTTTTAAAAATTAAATACTATCGACAGGCTATTTGATTGACGTCATCTAAGATCAGTATATTCCCAAAGGTTTTTTTTTCTTGAATAGACCATTTTGATAGCGTGTTTTTTATAGAATTATGTTAACTTTTCAGGCTTTTGAAATTAGAATGTGTTTACTAAACTGAATCCACTCTTATTTTTGTTCGCTGCATGGGCTAAGATTATGGTCCTTCATCCACATAAGTTACGGAGAATTCAGACGCAATGCACAATTTATGAAGCTATACTACTCTGTTCAGAAGAACCTAAGACTAGCGAGTTCAAAAAAAAAGCAAAACAAGCTTAGTTAGTGCAGTTACTGTGAATAAAATATTGAACTTCTCAGGTTTGTCCAAAATATAAAAACAATATCATGGTCGCTGGAAGATTCCCAATGAAAAAGATAGACAACTGTGTTCTTTTGTTTGCAGCAGTAAAACAAAGTTGTGATATGAGATTACCGATCAGTTTGTCATTTTTTTCCGGGGAAAACCGCCAGAAGGGTCAAAACATGTGGCTGATCCCGAGCAGAGTCACAAGCTTTCTTTGAAAGTAAAAGTAAATTCTACATATGGGTATGAAATATCAAAAATTAGGTTATTTCACATAAAATGACCGATTAGCTCTTTTACATTACCAAAAAGACAGACAAGTTGGAACTCATACAGTTTCCATTTTGAGGATCAAGCATTCTAAAATGATCGAAAAAGATATGAAATCTCAATATTTAGTTTAACTTACACAGAATTGATAAATTGAAGTAGGTCTTTTACATAGGCCAAAAGTACAGACAAAAATCATACAGTTTCGATATTAAGGAGCAAGCATTCTATAAATCTAGAAAGTGATATGATATTTCAATCATTAGTTTATTTACAAAAAAAAGTGACTACGGTTTGTATACCTAAGCCAAATATACAGTCAACAAAATCATACAATTTTCATATAGAGAAACAAGTTATCTATAATTTCAGTATTTGATACAAATTCTCAATAATTAGTCAAATTTCCATAGAGAAAAGAGTGATTAGCGCATTTACAAAAGCCAAATTTATATGTTTTTCTGGCCAAGTTTGATAAGCGTTGATCATATTCTAACACAAGCGTCAAATAAATTAAAAGGTAATGGAAATTAAAAAACCGGAAGCAGCACTATTTTATGTGAATGAAAACTGATTTCAACCAATGATTTTTTATCTTTTCTCTCACCTCGCACGCGCATCTTTTTTAAGGTGTAGTAAGTGATTTAACGGGATAAAACATGGCTAACAAATATGTTTTCATGGCTAATTTAGGCCGCAAACAATCTGACAGTGAAAACAAACACTTTTGTAGTAACACTTCGCAAAAGGGAGGATAAGGAAAAATATACCGGTTAGCAACCATTTTTGAACGTTTTAGGCAGTTTGTGTAAATGAAAAAAGAATATAGCTTTTAGCGCAATACAAAACTGAAAAGGGAAATTTTTTATTTGGAAACCCATTATATAACCTTTTGTTATATAATGCCCATTAAATAACCTGTTTTCTTACCATATGTCCAATGTCAATTCGGATATAAAGATGCATTAAGCCCATGTGAACAACCATCTCCCCTTGGAAGAGGGCAAGTAAACAAGCCGCAGATTAAAACTCCCATTCGCACATGGCTACTCAGAATTATGCTGCTTTAGCTTAAGATGCTGATAAGTGATCGCCAGAAATAGCAGCCGAATTATTTTCCAAAATTTTGAACAAGACTGCTCGCATCAGGGCGAAGCCCTGATTGTTCCGACTGCCTTTTAAGGTTTATGGAGCAGTAATAACATAAAAAAAACTTCAATGAAACAAAACAAAATGAAAAAAATTTTTTTTTCTAAAATTTGAAATTTTTTATGAAAATCATCTCCCCACACGCCATTTAAAGTACAAAAGTATAGATTTCGCTCCTTATAACAAACCAATTATGGCAAATAAGCTTCTTTTAACCAAATTGGAACGATTTCTTAGACGGATTAACTCTCCGCTTACGCGTTAATAGCGCGAAATATATCGCGCGTTAATTGTCCCAAATTGGCCAAAATGGCAATGTTTAAACCCCCATAATTTTACGAAAAATAATCACAGGTGAAATATCTTTTCAAATTTGAGCTCAGGACAACAATAATTTTCGAATGATATTAAAAAACTCCGGCAAAAGTGGCTAGTTCAAAAGTCGAAATTTGTCTGAAGAAAAAAAAACCCACCCGAGCACAAATTTTCCTTTACTTTCGTATCGAACAATAACTACATCAATAAAATTTTAAAAACACTGATAATATAATTGCGCCATGTAAATTGTTTTAAATATTGAGTTCAACTGAAACAAAAATCTGATTAATCTTTGCGTGCGTTTCGTTTTGAAAAAATTTTGCGTTTCGTTTTGAGCAAATTTTTCTACTACGATTGGCTGAATAGTAGATAAATAGTGCCGGTGAGCAATGAATTTTATCCCGGGGGATCGTTCACTTGGTTTATAGTTTTAGCTTGAAAATATGACGTTAACATTCTTTGGATCAATTTTAGCACTTTTTAAAACAGTTTGTTTTGCCATATAAAACATAAAAAGCGATACTTCCAAAAATGGCAATTGTTAGAAAAAAAATTTTCCCCAGTTTTAGAAAATGGTAATCAGCTTTTAAAATCGTAATCATATTAAATTGTTTCCAGTATAGGGCCACTTCTATCAAATTAGTTTGTTTAACTAATCATCTTAGAAGAACCCAGCCTGGGAGATCGTCAATAGACAAATTATGCCTGCTTTCAGACGTTTTTTTTAAAAACAAAACAAAATTTTAATACAGGTGGGGTAGTAGCAAAGGTAAACCATGCTTACGTTATTAAATTCTTAAAGCCATTGAAATGGATAAATTGTTTAGTTAAAAGTTTGCCAAGTTTTGATGATAATGTAAACATTGGTGACAACCGTCACTATGAAAAAAGATGGGAATGTTGTATTAATTAGCTTTCTAAGTTTTCTAATGTTTCAGTCTCTTGAAGCTTTATGAAGAAATTGTGAATTTCAATCCGTGCCATTTTGCAACTCATTTAAAAATGTATGAAAAAGATATTTGAGACATTTGTAAAGTGAACAGTTGCTTCTGTCTTCTACCGATACCATATTGGAAAATGCATATTGGAAATTCTCCGGTGTTTTAAGCTTTCAAACACGGAGAGTTTGAAAGCTTAAAAAATGTTTCTAGTTTGAGAGATTTTAGAATATGTTTTGACCTATTGAAAAAAAATTCTTGCCCCGTCAGTTGCTCTTAACAGTCTGCTTTTTTTCTGTCGCTTCGACCTTTGTTCTTGTGAGCTTTGCAAGAAAAGTACAATATTGCAACAATAAATTATACAACCTGTCATTAACTCTGCTGGTACTAATCGAGATCTTTTTCATTGAGTCTGCTGAATATAATGACTATAATATGTATATTTTTTAAGAGAAACGATTCACATGCAGAACCTTGGTCTTTTCAAAAGTGTCTTGCTTTCGGGTTTGATGTCATCGGATTTGATGTCACATTTATTCGTTCTCGGATTTCCAGAATAGACGTTTGAAATCGGCTCTAAACTTTCTACCAAATATCAAATACAAAAACAAATTGCACCCATTCAACATTGTTGTTAGAATTGAATTGATTTTATCGCGAAGGTTAAAAACAGCTTGCTCGTAAACAGTATTCATTTCGGAACCATAATTCAATTTGTATATGACCGAGCCACTCACTTTCAGAACGCAGAATAGTATGCACACTGCAAGCATTTGTCTTGTAATCTCTTTATCAAGTCGGTCCCTGGCTGAAACATTTGCTTGAGAACTTTCTCTTTGGTTTCTTCGTTTTCTCATATTTAATCGAAGCTTGAACAAAGTTGTTACCGTGCATATCAAAACCACTGAAATTGGTAGAATTGATATAGCCGCGATTGTGATCGGCATTCGGATTTTGAAGTAGAAAAACCTGCTTACGAATTCGAAATTAGAGACGCTGCATTCGTTTTTTTCTACGTTCAAATCAAACACGAATAAAGCAGGGCTCAAAACAATAGCGAGAAAAATATTCGCAAAAATTGTTGCGATGATGCAAATTTTTGGTTTTCCAAGCTCCTTGTACTTGAAGGGAAACAAGACCGCTAAACACTTATCGACACTAAACAGAGCCGTTACCCAAATTGAGACAGAAGTTGTCAGATTTGAAACATAGTTTAAAATTGCGCACAGCCAACGATTGATTAGAGTCAAATTGAACCCTGAAAGAGGAAATAATTCGTATACGAATCCATCGAAAACTATGCTCTGCAAATCTGCCAGAGCTAAGCTGGCCATGAATGCGGCTCCAGATGATAAGTTTTTCCATTGTGATATTATCACCATGATGAAAATATTCCCCACACAGCCAAAAGAAGACAATGTTGCATTGAATATTTCCAGGAAGAAAGTTGTTTGCGCTGTTTTTGGGTACAACAATTTCCACAACATTTCTTCTTCAGAGTTGGACTCTTCGTACTCGTTGGTCTAAAAATTGAAATGAATTGCGTCTGAAAATAATAAATAAAAAAATTTAAAATCACCTCGATGAATTTTAACCAAAGATTATTGATCAAAAAGGTGGGATTTTAGAGACGTTTGCTTAAAGAAGTGTAAAGCGAATTAAAACACTTTTGTCCCTTTTAAGAGGTTCATTTCGATCGCATAATACAATGGAATGTTATTTTTGTAAATTGCGTTTTTTGCCAGTAGAAAGTTTTTTGTTTCGCGACAAAAGTGTCTTACACTAATTTTTGAGAAGAATAATGATGCCAACAACTTTCTCAATTTTAAGGCTCAAATTGTAAGCAGTTGTATTAAATAAATTTCACAATTTCAGTTCAATTTTATTTCCGACATGTGGCTTAGTGGCTCACTAGATTCGAACATTGCTTTGAAAAGCACAGCATACATAACTTGAAAAACAGAGCACGTTTTCCAATTAGAAACCCTTTTTTTTACTGCCAGTTACCCATAAACGTACACCTTTTTTTGAGGCTTTTTTAGAAGTTAAACCAACAGAGGATTGTGACCCCCCCCCCCAAAAAAAAAAATATCAAATTTTATCATTTTACATCAATTTGCAGGGCACTTTATTCACAATTAAATTTTTGTGTCAACCTTCTTTGTATAGACAATTATCGCTCTTATATTGATTTCGGGGAAACCTTTTTTCAAACAAGACCGCTCGTAGCAGGGCAGAATTTTGAAAAATATTACTGCCTTTTAAGGTCTATGGAGCAGTAATTACGTGAAAACAAATAAGGTAATAGAATAAAAATATTTTTTTTTTTAAATTTGAGAATTTTTGTAAGAACCTCCCCCCCCCCCCCACAAACACGCACACCATATAAAGTACAAAGTAATAGATTGCCCGCTTATTAACAAGTTATATATGGCAAATAAGCTTCTACAACCAGCAAATAAGCTTCTACAGAACGTCGTTTCGAAGATGAATTGAATCTCCGCTCACGCGTTAATTGTCCCAAATTGACCAGAATAGCAATATTTACAACCGCATTACTTTACGAAAAGTAATCACAGGTGAATATTTTTTTAGGATTAAGCTCAAGACAACAATACTTTTCGAATGTTTTTTAAAATTCGACAAAATGGCTAGTTAATAAGTCGAAATTTGTCTGAAGAAAAAAAACCACACCGAGCACAAATATTCAGTTACTTCCGTTTCGAGAGTCGGAACAAAAATACAAAAAGGAATTTTGTCAATCGGATATTCATAGATATACACATAGTGTGTATAGTATACCAAAATTGCGCAGAGTGTACAAATCACTTTAGTGTTATCTGATAGACTAATTGAATACCACGCTTCATCGATTTTACTTGATTAAATTGGATTTCCGATACAAAAATAATCCACTATTTAATATTCTGTACATATGTAAAATTAGAACCACGAAATTGATTAACATGTCAAAAAAATTGATTATTTTTGAAAAAAAACCATTAAAATCCATAATCGTTATAATCCTTTTTTTGGCACTGAAATCGATTATTTTTGTCGTCATAATCTGTCATACTCGATTGTTTTTGAAATAAAAATAAATTAAATTCCATTAAAGTTGATTGCAGTTTTAGTTTTTCGGAAATTTGCAAAAAAAATAATGCCATGCTTTTTGCAGCTACAACAAGAAAAAAATCAAATACGTTTAATCACCCCACCCCCAGTTTACTCCCCACTCTCCCCACCAGTTTACTTCACCCTCTTCTTCAATTTACTTCATCCTCCCCACCAGATTACCTCCCCCTCCCCCATTTCAACAACCCCAACCCCAAAAAAGTATTTTCCCGCCTCAGTTTAACCCCTCTACCAAAGTTCTTACCCTCCACCACAGGCGGATTTAAGGAGGAGGGGGTGGGGGCTGACGTCTCCCTCCCTCAGTAATTCCACCCCTGCCGAATTAAAAGGTCCCACCAATGTATTAATTCGATATATCCAGTTTTGGCTGTTTGACCCTAAAAAATTTCTAAAGGTGCCTTTGGCGCCAAAAAAAACGCAATTTTTTGGTCAAAATTTTTCAAAAAAAGCGTAAAACGCCTTTTTTGTGGCCTTTTTTTTCAAAAATTTGCCTTCGTCGCAGAAATCTTCGTCAAATTATGCTCTTTCTACTGATTTGAGAGAGCTCATAAAAGCAATTTGGTCAATATACAAAAAAAGGTCGACAAGTTTTCAAATTTTTTGAAAATCCGCCCTTCTCGAGAAAATCCTAGATCCGCAGCTGCACCCCACACGTGTTTTTACCCCCCACCCAAAAATCTTAACCCACCCCAACAGAACAACCCCGCACCACAACCTCTTCACAGTTTAGCCCCTCCCCTACTTAAGTTTTTCACACCCCAACTACGTTCGGTAAACGTGGGAGAAAGTTAAACGTAGAAAAATTTGAGGTCAAGAGGTTCCCAGGATAAAAAAGAATAATTTTGAAAAAAAGTTCAAAAATTTGCTGCAGCGACGTCAGAACATGTCTCGAGCTCTGTCAAACAATACAAATCCTTAGCCGAGATAGCATTCAAAAATATATGAGTTAAATCATGCTGGTTGTGTACTTTTTTCAGACGAATCATTGTTACTTTTTAACGACTCGGCGCAATCCGGTATATTTCATTCTCTCGACAATCTGGGATACGTTTCACTCCTATTAACTGAACCCATGAAGTTTTCAACATTCTCGACCAAGAACTAAGTGCTCGATTTTCCTGGACACAAATCAGATAAGTTTCGACTGTCGTGATCAAAATCAGCCGTGTTTCGACTGCTTTGACCGTCCTTATGCTACTGTTCACTCGCAACCTTCTCATTTTATTCTAAAGAACTTATACTTTTTGAAATGATGCAACACGAAAATAAGACAAATAAGGAAAGAATAAAACAAAAAACGTAAAATGAAGTATGTATATTTTGCTTGAAAAATACAAAAAACAATGTTTTTTTTTAAACTACTGTGAGATAAATTTTTTTCGTGCGTTTCCTTTCTTTTTGAAAAATAACTAAAATTAGGTAGTTTTTCTAATTTTTACAAAACAATCTGTTTTTTTTTAATCTTTATCAACAAGTTTGGCTAGATTAAATTGGTTCGAATCAATTTACATACTCTTTCAATTTCTGAAACTTAAATTTATCTTTTCTTTTCACTTTCGAAACACTTATTTTGAAAGTCAACTCCCAATGTTTCATAAAAACCTGATTTGAAAAACTTTAGCTCCCCGCATATTTAAAAAAAAACATCACAATCACCTCCTTACTTTGCTCCTGAACTTCATATTTCGCGTAAAGGCAAAAAAATTTCTACTTACATAATTTTTCAGATCCATATTTTCCTAGTTTTTTGTTTAAAGTCGAACTTAATGCCAATATCGTGAAAAATCTATAAATAACAAAACGTCAATAATACATTTCCAAATCCAATAAAACGTTTCATCACATCATTAAATACAAATAAACGTAAATAAATTTGAAGATATTTTTTTTACAGTATGGACACTTTTGAGTTGTCTTTTATAATGTCAATCACCTCTCAATAACGTATTATTTAAGATTTTGAGAAATAAATAAACTTATCTTCGACCCAGAACGCTCCTTGATTTTTTTCTAATAATATTCGTTGCAATCAAATATATATTTAGAGCACTCGATTGAAAAAAGAATGAAGTTAGAGAATTTTTTCCCAATTTTTATTCCTAAACTATTAATTTTGTTAGAAACAAGTGATATTAAAATGAAATTTTCAATAACATTAATTAGTTAGTCACTTTTTTGTAACCTCCGAGGTTTTGATGAAGATTTACCATCAAAAGGTCAAAATTAGCTGGATGAGCTGGATGCAAACAGAAAGTTATGATAAATCAGATACGAAAAACATAATAACAAGACTGCTCGTCGTATATCAGGAAAAAAAGTGTTAATGATTTTACTGCACTGCAAATCCAATTTTTAAAAAATATATATTTTGCAAAATTGATAAAAAACGAAGTACTTTTTTGGGTTTTTTTTAATGCCCATCCTCTTATAATTAGTTATTGGTATTTGCTCAGTGAGTTTTTGTTTGTCTGATTTTTCGAACCATAATTTTGGTTGAATGGCACATTTTGACAGTTATCGGTTAACCAAACTAAAAAAATAACCAAAAATGAAATTATTAGTTGTTTAAAAGAATTTATAGTGAACTACAAAAAATTATGATGCCACGTAAAAAAGGAACGTTTTAAGATTGCAATCTACTTTAAGAACACGGAACTGAAATACGGAAAATAAACGTGTTCATAAGAGGTCTAGGTAACAATATCATACCAATGATTTTTTCGATGAAAGGAATCATGCGTTATGAAAAATTTTGAAATTAAAACCAGGTATAAACTCAATGTCGAAACAAAGTTGGTAGTTTTTTCTTTTTCAGCTTGATTAACGGCTAGGTTATACAGAAGTCTGACTAGAAAAAGGAGTAGCTGCATGATACTTTGTTAGTTTAAATATTTTATTCAAATCTTTAGAAAAAAGCAAAAATTGAATAAATTCGGGAAAATTGCTGAAAATATATATATACAACTGTGATTTACCCGTTTTGGCATTCGGGTCGCTTACATTTCTACCCTCACTATTGTTAGTAATCCTTGTTCCCGCACTGACAAGCATTAGATTAAAATCGGTTTAATTAGATTTTTGTACAGACAAAATACTGTGAGAAAGTCGATTTCCGATAGCCCCTTTAGATAAATAGATAATCATTTTAGGAAAGATTAAATGGAATTTTACGGTAGAAAAAGATCAACATTTTGCCCAAAAATTACCTTGAATCGATTTACATGGATGTTTGCAAAGTGGTGAAACACGTAAAAGTCTCAAAAGAATTGATTCATTGTAACTAATTTTTTCCAAAACTTGAGCAAATTTTTTGACCAAAAATAATCTCCATTCGGAGCAGCAGAGAGCAAGAGTCACTTGAAAAAAAAAAACGTTTTCCCTAAACTATTGTGATGAAGTGATTTTGTTTCTGAGTTTTGTTAATCTAAGCGATCGTGCGGTATGAAACATTTATGCAAGGTCGACTTCAAAGGCAAATGCTGTGACATGCTGTTGCCAAAACGCTTTACCATGCCAAACTCAAAAACTAATAAAACTCTTTAAACTCAACAAAAATTGTTGTATCAGCAGAAAACTCACAGCAGTTGGGCAATCTTTATTTTTTTGCTCAATTGGAATCCCGAGACAAAAAGAATTACTGAGCAACTCTGCGGAATCAAGCGTAAATCAATGGAAATTTTTTGAATAGTCATAAATTATTTGTCACAGGATCTAAGAATAACAAAAGCCGAACAATTATTTTGTAAAAACGAAAGTTATTTGTATCTGCTGTAAACTCCACTAACAGGTAAAACTTTTCTCCGAGGAAATCAGCAGTTTAGTGTTCTGTTAAATTTTAGACAGTATATTGAGTTTTTGCGATTACTTAGCAGTCGCGCAATTTTTTTAAGCAAAACACTTTTGACGAAGTTTTTTAAAATCTTGAGCAACTTCAAAATGGCTCTTTATAAAGATCTAGAACCAAACTTATTTTATGGTAACCTTGAACTTTAAGCAGCCGTCGTTTTTTGTAAGAGTCAGAACTCACACATTTTTGAGCGACTTGACAGGAAGGAAAAAATTCAACTGCTTCAACTTGATTTCAACTTGTTTTTTTGTGCCATAACACAAAAAAAAACTTGCTCAATCAATATAGTATGGATGTGAAAAATGTACGGGTTGTCAGGCATGAAATTACCGAAAAAGATGAGAAAAGCTTGTTACAGAGAAATTAGCCATTCACAGTCGTCATTGCTAAAAACTCTAATTTAAAAGTTTGCAGGGCAAGTATCAAAAAATATTTCACCCACAATAGTTTAAAAAACAAAAAAAAATTTAAAAAAAAAAACTTTTAAAAAATAAGTTTTTTGAATTTTTGAGTTTTCTACATTCTTTCAATCAGAAGGAGATTGTTTCAATGAAATATTGCTCTGCGTTTTTCAATTCATTATGAATAAATGATTTTTATCGAAACTGAGACTATTTCTACGAGTTGTTTTAGTTATCTCAAAGACGGCCAAAAATGTACAAAATGATACAAAAGATTACCCCCACAATTTTTCTCAAAAATACTCAAATCAAACAAAAGCACTCATTTTTTTCATTTTGATTGCTGTGAATTGATTGAATAATTACAGAAGTTATGGCAGGGGTTTTCGAAAAAATCATAACAAAAAACTACTTGTCAAAGGTAATTGATAATTTGGACTGGACTTCAATAAAAAACAAAAATAAATAATGATCAGTGTACACAAAATACTGCAAATACAATTTTTCTACCAATAGAATACGAAACGTGTCCAATATGATAAACTGGTAATTCAAAGTCAAATGAGAAGATTTTTAGCTGCATTTTTTGTCAGTACCCGCACTCAGTAAAAAGAGAAAATAATGGATTATGGAGGATTTTTATTGTCAGTCTTCATAAATTTCAAAAAAAAAATAGATTAAAAACGAATAAAAATGGTTTATGACCTTATTAATTTTTGAAACAAAAAAAGAACATTATAACTGATTTTTTTTTTGAAAAAACTATTTTATGATTTTTTATTGAATTATAATCCATTTTAATCGATTATAATCATTTTTATTCCAAAAACGTCATCGCTTCATTTCGTTTCAATTCAGTGTTGTTTTGTGTGCTTTTCAGTTGGTTTTTTTCTTACTGTTTATTGTTTATTTTCTTACTGTTTAGTGCAAGGACGGATTTGGGGGGGGGGGGCGGACACCTTTTTTTAGGAATTCGACCCCCTACCTCCCAAAGGTTTCCCCCTTTGTACTGTTTTGACATGCCCATATTTGGTGACGGACCCTTTGGCCTTTGGCGCCAATATAAACTAATTTTGAGGGGAAGCGCGCGCCAAAAACAGGGTCTTTTAAATGCTTTGGGAGAGCTCGGAAAATTAATTTGATCGACCTAAAAAAAAGTTCGATGAATTTTTCGGAAACTTTTTGAAAATCCGCCTCCACCCTTCGTTTACTGATTTCTTAGTTTTTACTGATTTGTACTGTGTTTTTATGCAGAACAGCTTACTTATAATCCGTTGCATTTCATTTTGCTTGTAAAAACAATTTTGATAGAAAAAGGCATAAAAAATCTATTATAAAAGATTTTAATAGATTATAATAGATTATAAGAGATCAAAAGAGATTTTCGGAAAAACTATAATCAATTTTAGTTGATTATATTTCATTAAACTGTCACCAAAAATGTTATCATTATAATGGATTATAAATTGCTTAAAAATCTAAAATTGGCGCTTATAATTAGTTATAATTTTGTTAAAAGTACGACTATAATTATAATATAATCCATTTTTTTTCGATTTTAACTGAGTGCGGGTACGTTTCGAAGAGTTCAAAGTTTACAAACGGTGATGGTCAGACTTTCCTTTGTTTTCTATTATATTCTACATGCAATTTTTTGTTTATTAATACTGAGCTTAAAATTGCTTCACCACGAAGTCGCGAGGCACGAATCAAAGAGGGGAAAATCACTGACCTCTTGAATGAGAGTTAGAGCCAAGTTGCCACTTCATCCTCGCTCCCATAGAAATACTTTCACCCAAGAAACCAACGTGGCTTCTGATAAATGTTTTTGCATTAATATTATAACAACAAAAAAAAACCCTGCTCACTTTCCAAATTGCTCATTCTATGTTTTGAATGTGCTTTTTTTGGCTTTCTTTTGAATTCGCACCATGTTTCCACTCTGCTAGACCAACGCATTTGGACATCTGTATAGTGGTTAGTTGAATTGGTTGTTTCTTGACAGTTTCAACTATTAAAACGGTTACCAGTGGCAGTTGTTACTCAAAAAATACTTTTGTGATATACAAACTGAGCTAATATCAAGGAGTATTCCCGCAAAAAAAAGCCCAAACTAGTGTAAAAAAATGTCTCATATTTTTACTATTAGCTGTAATGGTTTATCAGTGGTTCAGTTCTGTTAACTTTGCAAGGATCCACGTTGTAGAAAAGGGCAAACGGTAAATGAATCATTGAATATCCGTACTCAAAAACTGGTTTTGTACTGATAAAGTGGAACAGAATTGAAACAAATTGAGTTAAATCGATTCAAAATTGTTTTTGGTTTGATAATATAATGTAGTTAAAGTTCTTGATTTCAATAGATTCTGAATCATTTTAAGTCCAATTTTGAACTTTTCAGTTTTCTACAGATTTCAGTCCTTTATAAGTCGAGATAAATCAATTTCATTCAATTTTGATCTACTTTTTTTCAAACTTTTTCATTTTATAAAAGTTATATACAATTCATATTCAAACATTCTCGACTATC